AGACCACTAATTACAGGTGTGTTGCTATATAACTAAAGACCACTAATTACAGGTGTGTTTGCTATATAACCTAAAAGACCACTAATTACAGGTGTGCTGCTATATAACCTTAAAGCCACTAATTACAGGTGTGCTGCTATATAACCTAAAAGACCACTATTACAGGTGTGTTTGCTATATAACCTAAAAGACCACTAATTACAGGTGTGTTTTGCTATATAACCTTAAACACCACTAATTACAGGTGTGTTTGCTATATAACTAAGACCACTATTGAGTGTGTTTATATATAACCTGAAAGACCACTAGTACAGGTGTGTTGCTATATAACCTAAAGACCACTAATTACAGGTGTGTTGCTATATAACCTAAGACCACTAATTACAGGTGTGTTGCTATATAACCTAAAGACCACTAATTACAGGTGTGTTTGCTATATAACCTAAAAGACCACTAATTACAGGTGTGCTGCTATATAACCTAAAGACCACTAATTACAGGTGTGTTGCTATATAACCTAAAAGACCACTAATTACAGGTGTGTTTCTTATAACCTAAAAGACCACTAATTACAGGTGTGTTTGCTATATAACCTAAAAGACCACTAATTACAGGTGTGCTGCTTATATAACCTAAAAGACCACTAATTACAGGTGTGTTTGCTATATAACCTAAAGACCACTAATTACAGGTGTGTTTGCTATATAACCTAAAAGGCCACTAATTACAGGTGTGTTTGCTATATAACCTAAAGAGCCACTAATTACAGGTTTGTTTTTTTTGGTGTGTTGCTATATACTAAAAACCACTAATTACAGGTGTGCTGTATATATAAAGAGCCACTAGTGTGTATATAACTAGATTGTGTTTGCTATATAACCTAAAAGACCACTAATTACAGGTGTGTTTGCTATATAACCTAAAGCCACTAATACAGGTGTGTTGTGTGCCTAAAAGACCACTAATTACAGTGTGTTTGCTATATAACCTAAAAGACCACTAATTACAGGTGTGCTGCTATATAACCTAAAGACCACTAATTACAGGTGTGTTGCTATATAACCTTAATAAGACCACTAATTACAGGGTGTGTTTGCTATATAACCTAAAGGCCACTAATTAGAGGTGTGCTTATATAACCTTAAAGACCACTAATTACAGGTGTGCTGCTATATAACCTAAAAGACCACTAATTACAGGTGTGTTTGCTATATAACCTAAAGACCACTAATATACAGGTGTGTTTGCTATATAACCTAGACCACTAATTACAGGTGTGCTATATATACCTAACTCTTTTTAACAGTACAGGTATGTTAATATATATATGAGGTTAATTATAATACAATTTAACTAAGTACATTATTTAATTTTGTTTACATTACCTGTGGAGTTACCTGGTGGCTCCCTTATATAATTATCACAGCCTACACACACACGTTCACGTTCACTCACACTTCGTACACCTACACACGTTCACGTACACTCTCACACACACGTTCACGTACACCTACACGTTCACGTACACCTACACACGTTTACGTACACCTACACACGTTCACGTACAGCCACTCAAAAGAACTATCTGTACGGGGTGATCGAGGAGGAAGAAAAAGAGGAGAAAGAAGAGAGGGAAGAAGATAAGAAGGAGAAGAAGGAAGAAGAAAGGAAGAAGAAAGTAGAAGAGGAAGAAGGGAAGAAGAAGGAAGAAGAAGAGGAAGGGAAGAAGAAGAGGAAGAAGAGAAGGGGATATACACAACACACACAACAAATAACAAGATAATGATGTTATTGACAGTAAACAACAATAACAAAGCAACAACAACAACAAAACAACAACAATAACAAAACAACAAAAGCCAAATCATGGTGTCATTGGCAGTAAACAACAACAACAACAAGGCCTCAGTGTGGGGAGTATTATGCACTGGGAGAAAAACAGACACATTTACCAGCTGCTGTGACCACTAAAACACTGACCATGTACACGTCTTTTGAGAGGGGGGGGGGTTAGGTCTGGTAGGTTCACACACACACACACACACACACACACACACACACACCTTCAAAACACCAATTTAGACCATGGACCTGACCCTCTCTTCCCCTCCCCTCCTCCCCTAACACTCCATCCCTCTCTAGTCAAGTGTCCGTTTTACCAAGTTGGGGTGATAAGCGGGCTCATTTCCCTCACTTTACGTCGCCCAACACCCCTCTCTCCCCACACCCCCCAATTCTCCTCTCCTCCCCACCCCTCCCCTCCTCTCTCCCCCACACACCCCCTTCCCCCTCTTTCCCCCACACACCTTCCCCTCTTTCCCCCACACCCCCCTCCCCTCTCTCCCCACCCCACTTCTCCTCTCTTCCCCCCACACCCCCTCCTCTCTCCCCCACACACCCCTCCTCCTCTCTCCCCCACACCACAAGACCACAAGTCGCCTACAGCCCTCCTCACCGCCACCTACAGTATAACCCTTCAACCTTACATCCAGAGGCCTTGGATAGTGAACCTCTTGCACACACACACACACACACACACACACACACACACACACACACACACACACACACACACACCAGATGGTGAGAGTGTTCCATCACTACTATCCAAGAATACCACCACCACCACATTACCATCCCCACAGCCACCATCCCCCACTACCAACCACACCTACCATCCCTACCACCACCATCCCACATTAAGTCCCCAAGAGGTCCTGATGCTGACCTATACTGAGAGAGGGTGGTGGTAGATATCAGGTCCCACGATCCCACCACAACCACGCCCCACCACACATCCACGTCCCGCCACAACCACGTCCACCACAACCACACAATTACGTCCCACCACAACCACACCACACAATTACGTCCTGCCACAACCACGCCCCACCACACAACCACGTCCCCACAACCACGCCCCACCACACAACCACGTCCCGCCACAACCATCCCGACAACCACGCCCCACCACAACCACGTCCCACCACAACCACGTCCCCACAACCACGCCCCACCACAACCACACAATTACGTCCCACCACAACCACCCCACCACAACCACGTCCCAACAACCACACAACCACGCCCAATCAAGTCCGTAAATACAGTAATGGTCCGGAATTCTGGAGGTTGGACTTGTCTCAGATCTTGTTATGAGTTTTAACACAATATGGAAATAAAGACAGACACGAGGACGGACAGACACAAGGACGGACAGACATAAAGACGAACGCGAGGACGGACAGACACGGAACGGACAGACACAGGACGGACAGACAGACACAAGGACGGACAGACATAGCAGACAGACATAAGGACGGACAGACACAAGGACGGACAGACATAGACAGACATGAGGACGGACAGACACGAGGCCGGACAGACACAAGGACGGACAGACACAAGGACGGACAGACACGAGGAACGGACAGACACAAGGACGGACAGACACAAGGACGGACAGACACGAGGACGGACAGACACGAGGACGGACAGACACAAGGACGGACAGACACAAGGACGGACAGACACAAGACGGACAGACACAAGGACGGACAGACACAAGGACGGACAGACATAGACAGACACGAGGACGGACAGACACGAGGACGGACAGACACGAGGACGGACAGACACAAGGACGGACAGACATAGACAGACACGAGGACGGACAGACACGAGGACGGACAGACACGAGGACGGACAGACACAAGGACGGACAGACACAAGGACGGACGGACAGACGCAAGAGACGGACAGACATAGACGAACACGAGGACGGACAGACACGAGGACGGACAGACACAAGGACGGACAGACACAAGGACGGACAGACAGCACAGGGGACGGACAGACACAAGGACGGACAGACACGAGGGACGGACAGACACGAGGACGGACAGACACGAGGACGGACAGACACAAGGACGGACAGACACAAGGACGGACAGACACAAGGACGGAGACATAGACAGACACGAGGACGGACAGACACAGGACGGACAGACACGAGGACAGACAGACATAGACAGACACGAGGACGGACAGACAGACAGGGACAACTAATATAATGAAGTGATTCTCGTATATTTCGCCAGATGAATGAATGTTGACGTCAATAACCTAACTAACCTAAACTACTAACTAACAAAACCCCTAACCAAATCTAACCTAAACCTAACCAACACTAAACCTAACCAACACCTAACCTAAACCAAACACCTAACCTAACCAAACCACACCAACCAAACCTAACCTAAACCTAACCAACACCTAAACCTAACCAACACTCTAACCATACCTAACCTAAACCTAACCAAACCTAACCAAACCTAACCAAACATAACCTAAACCTAACCAACACCTAACCTAACCAAACCTCTCTTAACAACTCCAAGCAACAACCTGACACAACACGTTCTGTCATACACCAAGTTTGAAACAAATCTATCAAGTTTATTGGAAGTTATCGATAAGTGCGTGTGTGTGTGTGTGTGTGTGTGTGTGTGTGTGTGTGTGTGTGTGTGTGTGTGTGTTACCATGAGGCTGATTTAGGGTTTCTCTCTCTCTCTCCAAGACGAACATACAAAAGGTGCCACCTTAGTTAACCCAACCTGACCTCTGACCCATATAGCACACAGGTAACTAATTTATAAGTCTGCCAGAAAGGTTAGGATAGGATAGGTTGGGTTGGGTAGAGGTTAGGTTAGGTAGGAGGTTAGGGTAGGCAAAGTGTGCTGATATAAGAACACACACACACACACACAAAGAGGTGAGGGAGGGTGGTAGGTGTGAGAGTATCGACTTAACATCAACCACCACCCAGATTACTTCCTCCCCATCACCATCACCACCATCACCACCATCACCATTAACACCACCAATATAAACAACCACTGTGTATCACCGACACTTATATCACTACCACCATAACAACGATCACCACCATCACCTACTGGAGGTGTGTGTGTGTGTGTGTGTGTTACAACAACTCATACGTTCCTGTGACGTCCTGAGGAACCTGACGTTGACGTCTGGGTGCGCCCTCTGTGACGTCCTGAGGGACCTGACTGCCCTCTGTGACGTCCTGGGGGACCTGACCGCTCTTCTGACGTCCTGGGGACCTGACCGCTCTCTGTGTCGTCCTGGGGACCTGATCGCTCTCTGTGACGTCCTGGGGACCTGACCGCCCTCTGACGTCCTGGGGACCTGACCGCTCTCTGTGACGTCCTGGGGACCTGACCGCTCTTGACGTCCTGGGGGACCTGACGCCTTCTGCGACGACCTGGGGGACCTGATCGCTCTCTGTGACGTTCTGGGGACCTGACTCTCTGTGACGACCTGGGGACCTGATCGCTCTCTGTGACGTCCTGGGGACCTGACCGCTCTCTGTGACGACCTGGGGACCTGATCGCTCTCTGACGTCCTGGGGGACCTGACCGCTCTTGTGTGACGACCTGGGGACCTGACCGCTCTATGACGACCTGGGGGACCTGGACCGCTCTCTGTGACGCCCTGGGGGACCTGACCGCTCTCTGACGACCTGGGGACCTGACCGCTCTTCTGACGTCCTGGGGACCTGACCGCTCTCTCTGTGACGTCCTGGGGACCTGACCGCCTCTGTGACGACTTGGGGGACCTGACCGCCTTCTGACGACCTGGGGACCTGATCGCTCTCTGACGTCCTGGGGACCTGGACCGCTCTGTGACGACCTGGGGGACCTGATCGCTCTCTGAGACGTCCTGGGGACCACCGCTCTCTGTGACGACCTGTGGACCTGATCGCCTCTGTGACGTCCTGGGGACCTACCTGCCTCTGTGACGACCTGGGGACCTGACCGCTCTCTGTGACGACCTGGGGGACCTGATCGCTCTCTGTGACGTCCTGGGGACCTGACCGCTCTCTGTGACGACCTGGGGGACCTGACCGCCTCTGTGACGTCCTGGGGACCTGACTGCTCTGTGACGTCCGGGGACCTGACCGCTCTTCAGACGTCCTGGGGACCTGACCGCCCTCTTGTGACGTCCTGGGGACCTGACCGCTCTCTGTGACGTCCTGGGGACCTGACCGCTCTCTGTGACGTCCTGGGGACCTGACCGCTCTCTGTGACGTCCTGGGGGACCTGACTGCCTTCAGACGTCCTGGGGACCTGACTGCTTCTGACGTCCTGGGGACCTGGACCGCTCTCTGTGACGTCCTGGGGACCTGACCGCTCTCTGTGACGTCCTGGGGACCTGACCGCTCTCTCTGAGACGTCCTGGGGACCTGACCGCTCTCTCTGTGACGTCCTGGGGACCTGACCGCTCTGTGACGTCCTGGGGACCTGACTGTTTCTGACGTCCTGGGGGACGTGACCGCACCTGTCCTGGCTTCATTCCCGCCCTTCACCACCCGAGAGACCCGTAGAGAAGGAACGGGCGGCAATTCCGTTCAGTTGCTGAGGTTTACCTGTGTGTGTGTGTGTGTGTGTGTGTGTGTGTGTGGTGGTAATATTGAAGTGATAGTAGTGGTCATAGTGGTGGTCATAGTGACGACGATGGTGATGATGACAGTGAAGTAAGGGACTGTGTACACGCACGCACGCACGCACGCACGCACGCACGCACGCACGCACGCACACACACACACACACACACACACACACACACACACACACACACACACACACACACACACACACACACACACACAGCCCAATAATCATGATGGTCGATCCACGGCTGACCCACACTCACACCCCCTATAAAATTGATCCGTTTTACCCCAGTATAACCAAATTTCACTCCCAGTATGACCACGTTTCACCCCAGTATCACCCCCAGTATGACCCCAGTCCATCCCAGTTAGAACGCCAATAATTTTTCCATAGTTAAACCAATATGGCGGTAAATTACAGGTCAAAACAGAACCGAGAGAGAGAGAGAGAGAGGAGAGAGAGAGAGAGAGAGAGAGAGAGAGAGAGGAGGACCCTTGAACCACCAGACGTCACTACCTGAAGGAGCCGCTAAAATGAAGGTCTTTGTGATATATCTTCACCCCCCCCTGACGACCTATGGGGGAGGAAGAGGGGTGGAGGAAGAGGGTGGAGGAAGAGGGTGAGGAAGAGGAGGAATAGTAAGGAAGAGAAAATTCCATCACACACACGCACACACACGCACACGCACAAACACACACACACACACACACACACACACACACACACACACACACACACACACACACACACACACACACACACACACACACACCTTTGAGTGTGTTGGGTGACGTTAGGAAGCCTCTCATGATCAGGGTTGTGAGTTCCGCCACACGCTACTGTCTCCTGACTGACTGGATGACTGACTTGACTGGCTGATTAACTGAACTGACTGGATGACTGACTTGACTGAACTAACTGGCTGATTAACTGAACTGACTGGATGACTGACTTGACTGAACTAACTGGCTGATTAACTGAACTGACTGACTAATTAGTGACTTGACTGACTGACTAATTAGTGACTTGACTGACTGACTGGAGGACTGACTAAACTGACTGATCAAATGATTGGCTGACTGAGAGTGTGAACTGAATAAGTATGAGAGAGAGAGAGAGAGTGTGTGTGTGTGTGTGTGTGTGTGTTAGCGTCACTGTTTGTAACCCAGTAATAACAGTTGTGTCCACCAGGTGGCGTTCATCGATAACAAAAGTTAACACTCAGCGGCACCAAGTTAATCTCTCTGTCAGGTTAACATTTACCATTTAGTTTATGTCCGTGTTAACATTTATCATTGGGGGTTATTGGTCATTATTTCATACCTAATGATGGGGGAGGGAGGGAGGGAGGGAGGGGGGGGGGGAGGGGAGGGGGGCGGACGTCATCAAAGAGCAGCATGAGTGGTTTTCGTCACACGCCTGGCAGCAACACCCCAGGCGGAAACAAAATCCCTTACTGCTAGGTCAGGTCAGGTCAGGTCAGGTCAGAGGTCACCAGGTAATTATTGTCTTAATTCATTAATAATTACATGATTATAGATTCTATTTTTAAGGTAATTATATTGGTAGGAATATAATTCACTTGTTATATATATACGTTTAGGTTGTCACTCTGCAAATGGCTGAGTCAAGGTGCAACACCTCTCCCCTCATAGGTCTGCCACACCTTACTACCTCATTTACCACACCTTCCCCTCATCTGCCACACCTTCCCTCATCTGCCACCACCTACCTCATCTGCCACACCTACCTCATCTGCCACACCTTCCCTCATCTGCCACACCTTCCCTCATCTGCCACACCCTACCTCATCTGCCACACCTTCCCTCATCTACCACCTTCCCTCATCTGCCACACCTCCCTCATCTGCCTCACCTTCCCTCATCTGCCACACCTTCCCTCATCTGCCACACCTTCCCTCATCGCCACACCTTCCCTCATCTGCCACACCTTCCCTCATCTGCCACACCTTCCTCATCTGCTACACCTTCCCTCATCTGCCACACCTTCCCATCTGCCACACTTACCTCATCTTGCCACCTTCCCTCATCTGCCACACCTTCCCTCATCTACCACACCTTCCCCATCTGCCACACCTTCCCTCATCTGCCACACCTTCCCTCATCTGCCACACCTACCCCACACCTTCCCTCATCTGTCACACCCACTCATCTGCCACACCCTCATCTACCACACCTTCCCTCATCTACCACACCTTCCCTCATCTACCACACCTTCCCTCATCTACCACACCTTCCCTCATCTGCCACACCTTCCCTCATCTGCCACACCTCCCTCATCTGCCACACCTTCCCTCATCTGCCACACCTACCCTCATCTGCCACACCTTCCCTCATCTGCCACACCTTCCCTCATCTGCCCCACTCCACCTCATCTGCCACACCTCCCTCATCTGCCACACCTTCCCTCATCTGCCACACCTCATCTGCCACACCCCCTCATCTGCCACACCTTCCTCATCTGCCACACCTTACCCTCATCTGCCACACCTTCCTCATCTGTCACACCTACTCATCTGCCACACCTTCTCATCTACAACACCTTCCCTCATCTACTCACACCTTCCCTCATCTACCACACCTTCCCTCATCTACCACACCTTCCCTCATCTGCCACACCTTTCCTCATCTGCCACACCTTCCCCATCTGCCACACCTTCCTCATCTGCCACACCTTACCTCATCTGCCACACCTCCTCATCTGCCACACCTTCCCTCATCTGCCTCACCTTACCTCATCTGCCACACCTCCTCATCTGCCACACCTTCCCTCATCTCACACCTTCCCTCCATCTGCCACACCTTCCTCATCATGTTCACTACACTCATAACATGTAGAGTTACAAGGACAGGTAGAGCATATACCAAGTCAATCTCTCTCTCTCTCTCTCTCCATTCTCATTCTCTCCGCCCAGTCGTTCATTTCAATTATTCATTCACTTCTTTACCCCCGAGAGATGAACGCCTCACTGTCAATACCTCCCCAGGTTGGTCAGACAGGTGGAGCAGCGTCTGTCTCTGTCTGTCTGTCTGTCTCTTCTGCTTGCTTTCAGGCTTCGTGAATCACAAATGACGTACGAATTCGACGAGAGAGAGAGAAATCAGGAGTGTTCGCCAGGCGTCGCGTTTCGCCAGTGCAGACAATGATGCATCACCTGTTTACCCACTGATGAATGAGTTACCTGGCCTGGGGCACGTGTTAACTTGGACTCAAATGACCCTAGGTAGGTTGGCGTTGGTTAGTTGCGTTGGTTGGTTAGTTAGGTTAGGTTAGGTTGTTGGTTAGCGTTAGGGTGGTCAATCTTCAGGAAATAAACAGGGTGAGATTCAAGACAACAGACCTATTGTTTACCTGCATGGGCTGTCACACACACACACACACACACACACACACACACACACACACACACACACACACACACACACACACACACACACCCTGCTCACTTGGTGTTAGAGAAGGACAGTAATTAACCTGAGTGGCTCTGTACTCCACCACCTGAGGCTCCACCCAACCACCACCTGAGGCCCCACCTTCCACCACCTGGAGGCTCCATCCTTCCACCACCTGAGGCTCCACTCTTCCACCACCTGAGGCTCCACCTTCCACCACCTGCGGCTCCACCCTTTCCACCACCTGAGGCTCTACCCTTCCACCACCTGGAGGCTCCACCTTCCACCCCTGAGGCTCCACCCCTTCCACCACCTGAGGCTCCACCTTGCACCACCTGAGGCCCCACCTTTCCACCACCTGGAGGTTCCACCCTTCCACCACCTGAGGCTCCACCCTTCCACCATCTGAGGCTCCACCCTTCCACTACCTGAGGCTCCACCCTTCCACCACCTGAGGCTCCACCTTCCACCACCTGAGGCCCACTTCCACACCACCTGAGGCTCCACCCTTCCACCACCTGAGGCCCACCTTCCACCACCTGAGGCCCACCCTTCCACCACCTGAGGCTCCACCTTTCCACCTGAGGCTCCACCCTTCCACCACCTGAGGCTCCACCTTCCACCACCTGAGGCCCACCCTTTCCACCCCCTGAGGCTCCACCCTTCCACCACCTGGAGGCTCCACCCTTCCACCACCTGAGGCCCCACCTTCCACCACCTGAGGCTCAACCTTCCACCACCTGAGGCTCCACCTTCCACCACCCGAGGCTCCACCTTTCCACCACCCGAGGCTCCAATTCCTTCCTAAAACTAAGACCTATTGAACTGTTCTTCATAACCCTGGCAGCTGAACCTAAAATAACACAATAACATTCAATAACAAAATTAACAAACTATAACATATAATTTTATCAGTAATAATGAGAGAGAGAGAGAGAGAGAGAGAGAGAGAGAGAGAGAGGGAAAATCAGATCACCCTTATCAGGATCCTCGCGCGCACACACACACACACACACACACACACACACACACACACACACACACACACACACACACACACACACACACACACACACACACACACACACACACACACACACACACACACACACACACACACACACACACACACACACACACACACACACACACACACACACACACACACACACACACACACACACACACACACACACACACACACACACACACACACACACACACACACACACACACACACACACACACACACACACACACACACACACACACACACACACACACACACACACACACACACACACACACACACACACACACACACACACACACTAACCTAACCTATCCCCAACCTAACCTAACCTAACCTATATCACAATAGCATCCACGTGTCTCCTTGCTTCCCATGTCCACCCGTGTCCACATTTACTGCGTCAACAACTTCAATCTTCTGACATCTAACTTGGCATGTGGGGTGGGAGGGGGG